CTGTGACATCATACAAAACTGGGATCCTCCTCCATCGCTCGCTCCTCCATCCTCCTCCCTCACCGCTGTCTTCGACGATGCCGACAGAGATCCCCGAGCTCTCCGCCAACGGCCAGCAGGGCCACCTCATCGTCGTCTCAAACCGGCTCCCCATCACCATCAGCAAGGATGCCGCGGGCGAGTACCACTTCAAGATGTCCTCTGGTGGACTTGTCTCAGCCCTCAGCGGCTGCAAAAAGTCCATGACTTTCACTTGGATAGGCTGGCCAGGCTTCTTCATTCCACCCAAAGATCGCCCCATCGTCGACAAGCGGTTGAAGGAGGAGTACTCGTGTCAGGCCGTCTACCTCGACGACGACGTAGCCGACAGGCACTACAACGGCTTCAGTAACTCCATCCTCTGGCCTCTCTTCCACTACCACCCCGGCGAGATGAACTTCGAGGAGGAGAACTGGCAGGCATATAGGCAGGCGAACTACGCCTTCGCCGAGGCCATCATGACCCAGGTCTCTCCTGGCTCCATGGTCTGGGTCCAGGACTACCATCTCATGCTCCTACCCATGCTGCTTCGAGTACTCAACGACGGCGTAAAGCCGGGCTCTACCGATGTCGAGCGGATATTGGAGGGCATCGAAAGCGAAGACTTCAAGCCTGCGTTGATTCCGAAGGTCAAGGTCGGATTCTTCCTTCACACCCCCTTCCCGTCCAGCGAGATCTACCGGTGAGTCTCCGTTCTCCCGGCTGCTGCGTGATATCTGCCCACTTCCTGGACTCATCGCTCTCCCCAGTATTCTCCCAGTGCGCAGGGAGATCTTGCTGGGTATCCTCTACTCCGACCTCATCGGTTTCCACACATACGATTACGCCCGCCACTTCCTCTCCTCATGTACTCGTATCCTCGGTCTCCCCACGATGCCCAATGGCGTCGAGTTCGCGGGCCGCCTTGCGCACGTTGGCACCTTCCCCATCGGTATTGACCCGTCGTCATTCACTGAGGTACGCGCTTTGGGACAGAAAATTGATGGATTGCGTCACTAACGCGTCCCCACAGAACCTGAAGAAACCCAATGTCCAGAAGCGCGTCGAACAGCTCGAGAAGCGTTTCGGCGGCGTCAAGGTCATCGTCGGTGTCGACCGCCTCGACTACATCAAGGGTGTCCCGCAGAAGCTGCACGCGCTCGAGCTGTTCCTCAGCCAGCACCCGGAGTGGATCGGAAAGGTCGTGCTCGCCCAGCTTGCAGTCCCGTCGCGCCAGGATGTCGAGGAGTACCAGAACCTACGCGCCACTGTCAACGAGCTCGTCGGCCGCATCAATGGACGCTTCGGCACCGTCGACTTCATGCCTATCCACTTCATGCACAAGTCGCTGCCTTTCGACGAGCTTTGCGCGCTTTACGCCGTCAGTGACGTCTGCCTCGTCAGCAGCACGCGAGACGGTATGAACTTGGTACGTCCTGTGCCTGTCCGGGGTGTGACGTAGCTTACCGTCTCTGTAGGTCTCGTACGAGTACATTGCCTGCCAGCAGGAGAAGCAGGGCGTCATGATCCTCTCTGAGTTTGCCGGCGCCGCGCAGAGTCTCAACGGATCGATTGTCGTCAACCCATGGGACTCGCAGCAGGTCGCCGACGCTATCTACGAGGCCGTGACCATGGAGCCGGAGACGCGGGCGGAGAACCACCGCAAGCTCTACAAGGTACGTGCACCTGTCCTACGTCATTGCTCTTTACTGATCCGACATTTCTCAGTATGTCGAGAAGTACTCTGCCGCATTCTGGGGCACGTCGTTTGTCAAGGAGATGACGAAGATACCCGACCCCGAGGATGCAGACAGCGTCGAGGAGCTCAAGGAGTACGCCAACAAGGGCGGCCAGGCAGAACTCAAGATCCAGACCGAGGACGCCGGTGGTCTCGAGCTCAACAAGAAGGTCAACGGCACCGTCACCATCCCTCTCACGCCGACAGAGCCTGCCCAGGTATAGGCGTGCTCGACGCAACGAAACTCCAATACTGTATACCAAGTGTATGGCTTCCCAAATCCGTAGCCTCGCACACTCTCTGCACGATCCGGACGAAAAGCGACGAAAGTGTACCATCGTAGTTGCTCACCCTTTCTTGGCCTACATAGATGCCCCGTCGGCATGGCGCTTTCTTGTATTATCTGGCCTCACGTACACCATACATGAGTATGTATTCCTCACTATCCCGCCCAGCGCGTGCTCGACACCCCTTGTACATAGCATTACGAATTAATGTAGCACTCGAATGCTAGCAGATTGACACACGACATGTGCGCTCACTCATGTGGACGGCGGCTTGAAGTCCTTCAACCACTCAAGGACGAACGCGACCTCCTCCGCATGAATCGTGCGGATGTTGTCTGGCTCGGCGGTGTGGTCCGCGAGGCCATTCTCGTCGTAATGGTGCACAGCGGCTAACGAAATGTCCTTTAATTAGCCCCGCTGTGGACCAAGGGCCCTTGAGCAGACGTACAGGGAATGAGCTTGAACGGCCGCGCCGCCGTGTCCGGCCGCTTCCTCGCGATGTCGCTGTGCGGTGTGTTCGGGCGCCACGGGTCCTCTGCAAGTGCCCATCAGCATCCCGCAGCCCTCAGCGCAGCACAAAGACACGCGCACCCTGGCCGTCGATGATCGCGAGCCGGTCCGCCGCGACGTTGAGCCCGCCGAGCGCGTTCACGGCGGCGACGTCCGGCTGCGGCGGCACGGCGAAGTGCGCGCCGGGCGGGAACGCCTGGGCGCCGTGCGTCAGCTGGATGTGTGTGAGGGGTACAGGGGAGAGAGGCGCACGAATTTGCAGATGAGCGACGCGTAGTCGAGGTCGAGCAGCTTCGAGATGATGCGCGGATGCCCGGCGGGCGGCGCGGTCTGTGCGCGGGCGAGGGTTGAGTAGGAGGCGGAGAGGAGAGGGGAAGAGAGGGCGCACCATGAGGAAACCCCACTGCGTGCAGACCTGGAACTGCCACGCGCGCCAGGTCTGCGAGAGGTCCGTCGCTTGGTACGAGCTCGCGTTGAAGCTGCCGAAGCACTGGAGAGCAGGTGAGCGAGGGGGCGTGGGGCAGGACGGCGGAGACGTACGTCGTCTTGCGTACGCGTGGTGGAGCATCTGGACGAAACGGTCTGTTTGGACGGGGTGAGCAAGGCCGATATCGCAGGTAACAGAATTGTTGGCCATTACCCTGTTGATATACGCAGCATAGGTCACAGTCGCGTTGTTGACATGTATGCCTTTGGCTATCTCCACAGTCTTCGAAGTTGGGCTTCCGAGGAACGCGCAGAAGTTGTCGAAAGAGGCGGAGTTGACGGCCGGGTCCCAGTTCTTGTCTTGCCATGCGCCGAGAGGACCCTGCCAGCCGGCACGTCTATCAGACGCGAGCCGCACCGTGCGTGGGAGATTGCTTACAGAGATCAGCGAGACGACATCCTGGTTGTGTGTGACGTTTGGCAGGCCGAACAAGGCCTTGATCGTGTGCGCCGTGCTCGGGTTCTCGATCAGGTTGTCGACGTCGCTCACAGTCGTCTCGATCTGCTGTACGCAGTCCGCAGGCGCGAACTGACGAATAATGTCGTAGTACTGCCAGTCCACGACAGTGGCGTATGTGACGCCGCTGGAGGCGATCGCGCCAAAGACAAGGTCGGGGTACCGGATCTTCATATGCGCTGAGCGTGCGCCAGCGTAGGAGCCCTGACGATCCGTTAGCATTGAGCAGAGTGGTACGGGGATGCTGATACATACTCCATAGTAGATCCACGGAGTCCCCGGGGCAGTCAAATCCTGGGAAATGTTGGCAAACTTCACGTTTGCCATGAAGTTCGCGGAGTCGGCCAGAGCTTGGTCGAGGTTCAGCCACCTGTGCAACGTTTTATGAAGGGATCTAGTGCAGCAAATAGATTTGCATTCACCTCATGGAGTCCGTAGTAAAGTTTTGAACTGGAATAGACTGGCCGTAGTAGCGATGCTCAAGCACGACTCCGAGACCCCCGGTTGCATTCGCCAAGATATCGACGATGCCAGTGTCCATGTACGGGAGACGTGCTGTACCGGAGGACTCGCCGCTGTCGAGGATGATGACAGGTCCGCCAGCCTTGAAATGCCTGTCGCTCACCCAGAAGCGCTGCTCCCAGGTGAAGCCGGTGTCGGAGAAGTGGTCGAGAGGCTGCGTGAAGGTGAAGACAGGAAAGCTGGGCGTGGCAGCATCGACGACTGTTGGCCCCGAAGGCGCCTCGGGGAGTCGTTGCAGGTTGATCCACGAGGCTCCGGAGTGAGAGAGCGCATGAATAGGTGCGAAGAGATACGCGATGACCGCGAGCTGGAGGCTGATCATAGCTGCGACGCGTATGCAGCTGCAATGCAGCACTGCTAGAAGTGGATGTGAGGGTGCATGCTCTTGCCTTGTCGCCTTTTTATGAGGCGGAGGCTTGGAAGTTCAGCGGGCAGGTCCTCCGCGATCTCCCTCGGAGAAGGCTGTCCACATGTCCATGCCTGCCTTCTGCTTGGTGATATGCTGCCGTCCGCGGTGCACATAAGGAAAGCTGCGGTGCCAATATGGATCATCCTGGCTTTAAGAGCACATGGGCTGGAAGAGCATACCATGCGCGAAGGAACCCGGTGGTGACTCCTACGGACCGCCAGCCTTGCCAGCGGGCTGATGAACAGATAGGAGGGCGTCTTTATCGCGGAGACCGCCAAAGATAAGTTCCTGGTACTTGGAAGACGAAGTGATTCTGGCATGGTCTACCAATGACCTTGTTGCACTGGAGAAAGGCGCATACACACTACACGCGTGTTGGTGAACCAAAGCGCTTGTGAAGACGCGCCACAACATGGCGAGGTGACCCCGACGTCACGTTTTGCCAGACATCTGGCTCGACCACGGACGGAGTCCTCTATACAGCGTCGTCTCAAGACTCGGACGTCAGCACCCTAGCTCTTCACTTTGCGTAAAAGAAATGCGCGTGAGTTGACAGGAAAAAGGAGCAAAAGATGAGTCCGGCCGGGATCGAACCGGCGACCGCTCGTGTGCACAAGATGTGAGACGAGCGTGATAACCACTACACCACGGGCCCTGCATAAGTTCTCCCACCGCACAGCGTTGTCATGCAAACGTACAATGGCCTACAAAGGGGAGTCCAAAAAAGGTGCAGTTTTGCGCTCTGTGGCCGATCAAGATGGGGATCTGAGCGCTGGGCGCTTTGCATGCGGAAGACGCTGTGGCAACGGGGTGTGGCGCTCAACGCTTTTGACAATTGTTCGAAGCGGCGACAAGCCTGATAAGTCCCATCATAACACGAGTTATCACTAAAATGCTGTAAATACATGTCCGCACCCTTGATTGCTGCGTGAGGGGCCCCAGCAGCGGTAGGGGGCCCACACAAGAGGCTCGAAAAAGCAGGAGAAAAAGGATACGCATGTGCAGTCCCTGAGCGGAGAACAACGATGGCTCGGTTTGGGAAGCTCAAGCCAAATATTTATCCGCAGCTTATCCTGTCGTAATTTCGGACTTTTCCACGCACCTCCGCCGAATCCAACTCTCACCCCTTCCTCCACCTGGCACCCCGTGTATATCGACTGCCGCGACGAGAGCTGAGGAGGAGGCGTGGGCCGCACAGGGGGACAACGTGAGTGGGGGCCCTTGTCCGTGGAGGACAATAGCGTGGTGTCCCCGACTCATCGCCACGCCACAGGCTTGAGGAATAGCCGCCACATACGCAGCCTTGTTCTGGAAGCTCGCCACCGACCAGCTGATGATCGATAGAGGTATCAGTGGTGAGAGTCTCTGCGGAACAATGATGGCCATGCCCAGTGACAGATGCACGCCCCAGACTAGCCATACAAATATCCCGCCCGCGAACGCCATCCGCTTATGTGCCCTGTCCTCCTGTCCTTGGCCCCAAGCGATAGCATTAAGCCCCGGATCGACCTGCGCCACATCTAACGCCCCCTGTTTCCACCCGACCGCCATCTGCCACCCATGGACGACGCCCCCAGTCCCCCACCCGAGCACCGTCCCGCCAGCCCCCGCCCCGCGGCCAAGCCGTCGTCGCCAGGTCAGTCTTTTCCCACATCGCCACGGCGTCACTGATCACAGGTGGCAACCGTCCCAGAGATCGCCATGTCGCCTCGCCCAACAAGCCCGCCGCCAGCCAAGCCCTCGCCCCCGCCGATGACGAAGAACAACGACGACGACGACGAAGAGGACGGGTGCGTGATGCGCCCACAGTTCGACCTCACGCTTCGGCAAGCACAATGGACTGTCCCCTCCCGGAACGCCCCGAGCCCCGCTTCCGGTGCCAGATCCCCCGAATCATTCGCCTCCACGCCACGCCACGTCCCCTCCCTAAGCACCGTCACCTCCCTCAGCACTGTCACCAAGCCCCCGCCGCCCCCATGGATGACGACCAAAAGCGCCAGCCCCACCAACTCGGTCTCCCCCCAAGACCTCATGGAGAGCATCCAGGCCCTGCAAGAGCTCCGGAACGCCCTCCACATCGAGCGCGACAAGACGCTCGCACGCCTTCAGGACCTCGACGCCCGGGTGGCGACAGCCGAACACAAGATCCAGCAACAGCTAGCCCTCCACCGCAGATTACAGTACCCTCCTCGCGCGAATGGCAAGAACTCGAACACGCTGCTGTCTCCGCCGCAGAGTCCGACCGAGTTCCGACGGCAGTACGGGATGGATGATGCGATGGACGTGGACATGAGGGAGAGTGGCGATGTGGACCAGCTCGAGTTGGACTACCCTGGTGACTCCGTAAGCATGCGTCGTTCCAGTTCTGAGCGTAGACGCAACGAGAACGAAGCCGAAGCTCGCGACCGAGTCCCAGAGCTGCCACGGCTCCAAATCAGCAAATCCTCGGCAGATTCTCCCCAGACGAACGGCAATGTGCTGCCTGGCTCCGTGCAGTTCCTCCATGTCTCGCACCTGCGTGGTCAGTCCGTGACCACGCACGAAGACCATCGCCGTCCCGTCCCGTCTCTCACTGTACCGCAGGCCAACGGCAAGCCTCAGTCGGGTCACCAGAGTCCACTTGAACTTCTTGCGAGTGCTGCGGCTCACAACCTTGCGGACGAACGCAAGGCGCGCGCCACACGCTCTCCGCAGCCGACATGGACGACGACTCGAACTAGTCTTTCCACGCCGGCGCGCATTGCCCGCGCTCAGGACGACTACGGTCACGGCCGACACGTGTCACCCACGATAACAGCACCTGTACCAAGCAAGCGCGCCATATCAGTCTTGGAAGAGGAAGAGGAGGAAGAGGAGGATGATGAGGAGGATGATGAGGACGAGGACGACGATGAGGTGCCTGACTCGGACTCGCCGCCGTACTCGGATGACGAGGCACCTCTGCGGAAGCGCGCCGCTCCAAAGCGGCGGCGTGTGGGATTCAAGTCCCAACAGCAGTACACATTCATCGAGAGCGGGAACGCACCGGGTCCTCACCGACGCAAGCCCCAGAACAAGCGGCATTCGCGCGGAGGGCGCATCGTCTGCGAGTTCTCAATGGGCCCGGGGCTGCCCAAGTGCGGGCAGCGCTTCACGCGGCAGGCAGACATGGTGCGCCACCGCGAGAACATCCACGGGGCGCACGAGGGCAAGTATCGCTGCCCGGTCTGCGGGAAGAGCCTGTCGCGCGCGGACGCGGTCAAGCGCCACGTCCTGCACAGCGACGACAACGGGCACATGGAGTTCCAGAAGAAGTACAACAAGGAGATCGACGGCGGCGGGGACTGGTGGCAGACCCTCGCTCCGGCGTGGCGAAAGTTGGCAATTAAAATATGACACAGGTGTATGTGAGTTATGATATCCGTATGTCCAGGCCTCATGCACGCGGGCTCTTCGTCGTCTCTTAGCACATGTAAATACCTTCGGACGCTCATGCAATCTAGTCCCGAGTTCTTTTGCTTTCTCATACTTGGATATGTGCGGGACGTCGTGCGCCACAGCCGACGCAGGATCGTCAAACCTTGCCAATCTATCCAGGGCGGCGGCGGCGCTCGCTGGTAAAGCCTGGGCGGCAAGCGGCGGTTCCCGCTGCTTTGTCGACCACCACCGTCGGTAAATGCTTTGGTCACCAGAAGGCAGATAGGTGCACATGTAGGTCCCCGCTGCTTTGTGAAGCAAGCTATGACATACAAAGCCTAGTCCAAAGTAGGCGCGTCAGTCCTGTCAAGACGGAGTTGACAGTGACGACTCAGATCGGAAGGCCTTCTCAGCTTTCCTTATTCTTTACGCACGCTATACAGCATCGTATACAGATCAATTGGTATGTGCCAGAGCCAAGTCATCGTGTGGTAAGCCTGCACTCACATCATTTGACACTCGGATAGCTGCCAGCATGTCGGCGCTCATGACGCGGTGCTCTTCTTACGCACGTCGGGGCCTGGTCACTCCTCGCGCAGGGCAAGGAGTACGATACACACATCAGAGTGCATTTCAAACACCAAATCCACTGCCGGCACAGTATCTGCGAGGCGGAACGTCGAAGGGGGTCTTCATCCAACAGAAGCATCTACCTCCGACAAACACCAAGGACTGGGAGCCGATCCTATTAGGGCTCATGGGCTCGCCCGACGCAGAGTACGGCCGACAGCTCAACGGGATGGGTGGCGGCGTGTCCAGCCTCTCAAAGGCTGTAATCGTCGGGCCTCCCACCCAGGCCCAGCGCGCGGACGGCATCGATTGCGTATACACTTTCGTGCAGGTCGGCATTCGCGATGCCGTCCTCGACCTTTCGGGCAACTGCGGGAACCTCTCGAGCATGGTTGGCGTATTTGCCCTTGACGAACAGCTTGCTGTTGCCCGCACCGAGCACGAGGTCGATGGTGACCACCCCGATGGCCCTCGGAGAGTCAAGATCCGCTCGCTCAACACGAACACGAACAAGATTATTGACACTACGTTTCCCACCATCACCGACTCACGCTCAGGAGCAACCGTAGCTACCCTCGATCTGCCAGAAACAACGATCGCCGGCGTGGAGGGCAAAGCGTCACAAATCACCCTCGACTTCGTCAACCCTGCTGGTGCGCGCACAGGGAAGCTTTTGCCCTCGGGCTCGCCCACGGACACAATCGAAGTTGCGACGCCCGACGGCAGCACCGCTTCGCTGCGGGCGTCGCTCGTCGACGCGACGAACCCGACCGTCTTCGTCTCCGAGGACGACCTGCGCCGCGCGTTCCAGCTCCCAGAAGACGCGGCCGTCGACTACAGCTCCGACGCCGTGCGCACCGTGATGGAGTCCGTCCGCATGCAGGGCGCGACGCGCATGGGGCTCGACCCCGCGGCGCAGGCGCAGCCCAAGGTCGCGGCGCTCAGCGCGCCAGCAGCGAGCGACACCGCCGCCGACATCGTCATCCGCGCGTTCTCGATGGGCGTCCTGCACAAGGCCGTGCCGATGACGGTCGGCCTCTGCCTGGGCGTCGCCAGCGGGGTCCAGGGCACACTCGCTGCGGACATCGTGCGCGAGACCCGCGAACGCAGGGGCGGCCTTGGCGGGGAGCTGGTCTCGATGCGACACCCGGGCGGAACGGTCGAGGTCGGCGCTTCCGTAGACGGGCTCGGGAACGTGAGCAGTGCGAAGGTTGTGCGGACGGGGCGTAGGCTGATGCAAGGCGAGGTATGGTGGTGAACATATCCTCGGTCAAAGCAACACAAGAAGTAGCAGTCGATGTATACGAACTATCATGAGATGCAACTTGTACAAAGCGAATGCGACGACACAAGACATTACTACGTTACAGACAAGGAAATGGATGATGTACAACAGCGAGCGAGGTGTCCTGCGAGAAGTCCAGAATGTAAAACTGTAAACTACACGGGATTTCGCCTACGCATCTACCGGTGCGGCGAAGCCCCTGCCCCGACCTCTGAATCCTCTGCCGCGTCCCCTGCCTCTGTCGAAGCCATCTGCGTGGAAGCCTCCGCGCCCACGACCGCCGATGAAGCCCCCGCGTGGAGGCACGGGAGGGCCGCCGCGCTGAGCTGGTGGCGCGCCATCCCTGGCCATGATGTGCGGCACAGCGCCGCCTCGGCCTCGCTTCGCGGCGCGTGGACTGGTGG